TGCAACACTGGGACGCGATTTTGCAACGCATGGAACAGTTGGGCGAAACGCTCAACACATTGAGCCAACCCGCCAGCCGTTCCTCCACTTCATCGCAGGCCTCGTCGCCCGACAAGAAGGAGATCTCATCGTCGGAGACCTCATCGACCGCTTCGACGCCCACCACGACGTCAGCCAAGAAGCGACGACTCGACTCGTGGAGAATCCAAGAATGGCAAAGAGCTCTCGACACACTTTCATCGTGGTTGGAAAGGGTTGAGGAGGCGCTCGGCATCGACACCGATGACGAAGAGGGATCACTTCTATGGGAATCATTAGCCATCGAAGAACAACAAGTGTTGTTAGAAGACACAGAAGCGGACGTCGAGTTACGGAAAACAGAATTTGAACAATTGATATCTCAGGGCAAACAAATTGTCGATGACTTGACGTCCAGTGAGTCTTAATGTTTATACAGTAATATGGTTTTAAATTTTGATAAATGCTTAAAACGTTTTTTTTCTTAATTATTTGCCAAACACTAGTCGGTGAAGACTCGCAAACCATTGAAGAAGTGGTTCACACTATTCTCGAGCGCTGGATAGAAGTGAACCAAGTTTTGGATGAAAGGCAGCAGAGAGTGAACGCCTTTCTTGAAGTGAATCGAATACACAGCGAATCCGATGCCATGACTAGAGTTCTCGAAACGCATCACAAATGGCTGGAAACAGCAGAAGAGGCTATTAATAAGGCTGAAGAATTGCCAAAACTTTTAGATCAAAGCAAAGTAAATCAATTTCTATCCAATATTATACAATCTACTCATTAATATGTGTTTGTCTTTTAGTTACGCCTCAAATCAATGCAATCGCAGAAAGAAAAAGTGCAGAAAATAACTGAAGACGTGCTCCGACTGTGCGTTGAGATCCCGTCCTCTTCTACCGATTCCGCTATAAATGATATCAAAAGTTTCATTTCTTTTTGGGACGAAACCAATAAAAAGATTATTAATTTTAATAATCGTTTAACGAATGATTTGCCGAAAACTGATTTCAAACCAAAGTCTATATTAAGTGTCAAAAAGGAAACACAAAGTGTTCAAAAAGAAGAGCCCAATGAGGAGTTGCCTCAACAATACGCACATCTATTTAAGACAATTAAACAATTGATGGACTGTTTGAACAAAACTAATACATCAATTGATTCTGATTTTATGGATTCGATTAACGACACAAAAACTTTGGAAACAGAATTGAAAAAGTTTGAGGAACTCATCAAAACTGTTTGCTCTGAAGAATCAAATCTCCGGAATATAAATAAAGGTGTGAAGGAAGCGCTCGACTCCAAAACACTGTCTTCACAATTGGAGAAATCTTTATCCAAATCTATGGAAGAATTAAATTTTAAATGGGATTCCGTTAACAATAAAATCAAAAGTAGAATAGAATTGATTAATAAATCGTTGCAAACAATTAATCTGATGGAAGAGGAGATAATAAGTTTAGACAAATGGATGGATGAGGTGGACGTGTTTCTCAATGAGGACATTGCGATCGGAGACTTAGAGACTTTGGAGCAGCAGTTGGAACAGTGCAACAAACTTCAAAAAGACATCAAAATGACAATTCAGTCCTCTATTGATAACATCAACAAAAACGCGGTCGAAATCACGAAGA